CGGGAGCGTCGCCGCGCTTCCCAAGCGGCGCACTATCCAGTGCGCCACCGGGCCGGCCCTCAATATTCTTTTTGATTTAAAAAATTTAAATCTGAAATGTTGCAAACACAGAAAAATGCAGATATGAATATAATAGATACCCATGCACACATCAAAATTTGACATTAACATTTTACCATATTTGACTTACTTTCAAAAACAAACATTCTAGAATGCAACTAAAGCCTCCTCTTGCCTTATTTCTTCCTTTCCAGAGAACTAGTATGCATCATTCCAATGCATATTTGTATTATTTTATATTTTTAGAAATTTACCCTGGGCTGAGCCTGTGGCGCACTCGGGAGAGTGCGGTGCTGGGAGCGCAGCAGCACTCCCGCGGCGGGTTCGGATCCTGTATAAGGATGGCCGGTGCACTCACTGGCTGAGCGCAGTGTGGCCGGTCTCAAAAAGGACAAAAAAAAAAAAAAAAAGAAAGAAAGAAAGAAATTTACTCTGAAAGATCATGTTTGCTGGTTGTCTTCTTTATTCAAAGTCAAAGTCATCTATGTTTAGGTAGTTTGTTTAATTACTGTGTAATAGTCCACTATAAAATAAATCACAATTTATTTATACATTTCCCAATCAAGAGACAGTCAGTCATTTCCACATTTTTGCTAGTACTGTGTCTGATGACTTTCTGTACATCTGTCTTGTCCTGCACATATACAAGAGCACCCCCAAAGTACCCACCTGGATGCAAGAATGATAAATCATAGGGTCCTGAAATCTTTAATTTATCTAAGTCTCAAAAGTGCTTGAAAAACATTGTACACCATTAACAATGTCTGAGTTAAAGTGTTTCCCCTCAAGTTTGCCAGCATTTGGTGTTTGGGGCTTTCACCTGTTTGCCAGTCTGATGGACATGAAATAGACGAGCACGGCTGCTTTAGTTTGCATCTTAAGAACGCCTCAGGAGCTTCAGCATTTTTTGGACTGTTTATTGGCTATTGGAGCTCTCCTTCTGTAACTTCATATCTCGAGTCTGTTGCTCTTTTCTAACTTCTGTATAGTTTGTTTTTCTACATAGATATCATCTTCTTCAAATAACAATAATATAGCATTTTTGCTTTCAAAATTCATAACTCTCATATCTATGTTGCCTACTTGTTTTGTTAATTAGTTAGTTTCCTTTCTTCTCTTTTCTAATGTATGTGTTAAACATAAAATTTTCCTTTGACTTCTTCTTTAGCCATCCAATAAGTTATTTTATTTAATCTTCATAGAGTTGGTGAGACCCAAGTATTCCATAATTTATCTTATGATTTTTTTCTTTTAGCTATGAGTTATTAAAAGTGTACTTTAATTGCACTGTTGTCACAGAACATGGCATATGTGATGATGATTCTTTGGTGCCACCAAGATTTGCTCCACAGCCTAGTGTGTTCAATTCCTGTAGATGTCCACATTTGCTAGGTAAAAATGTGTTTTCTCTAACTGTTTATTGCAGGAGTTTACATATGCCCATTAGATCAATCTTGTCCATTTTGTTGTTCCGATTTTTAATAAACTTGTTTCAACGGGATGTGTGTTCATTAATTCTGCATTTGTCAAATAGGTATTAGCAATTCTGTCAAGTAAC